AGTTCTCTCTCTCTCTCTCTCTCTCTCTCTCTCTCTCTCTGTCTCTCTCTCTCTGTCTGTCTCCACACACACAAACACCCACACCCACCCACACACAAACTACACAACAGTCAGCACTTACCTGGTAGGGTAGTATCCAGGTCTTCTACTCGATGCAAGAAATCAACAGTTCTCGCGTTGTCCATCAGCAAATTATCATAAACTCACCTGTGGCCTTCATGTAATATGTCACAGACAAAAATAGGACAATACAGTATTACATTCTAGATCCGTCAGTGCTTGCAAACCTTTTAATAGGCAGGGCCCACTTTAACCACTTTAAAAAGATTACAATGTTCGTGCCGCCAACCTTCGTGTACTTCCAAGCCAGGCATTAAATACCTCCTGTCACTACAAAGGTTGATCCCCACCGTTTACCAAAATTACCAAATGTCTCACAAGTAACCAATATCGCCTAGGTTGGCAAGCACAGTTTTCAGTACAATCAGTCCTCTTGTCGTAGATTAGCGTCATATGTAATGTCATGACACTAAAATAGCTTCTCTCAAGGGTTGTGAGAATTTTCTGTCCAGAGTGTGAACAACAGCAATTTCAGTCAAGAAAGTGGACAACAATTTCAGAGAAGGAAGTGAGAGATAAAGTGGGACAACAAGCTTATTCAATGATAACTTAGTGCATACAATAGATTCAGAAATAAGATGAACAGCAATTTCAGGGCAGGCAAGAATAGCCCGGTTAGCAGACGCACAAACTGAAGGACTCGTCTCGTACCACAATAGCAAAACAGTACAAAAAAGAACAGAGAACAAGCTGTAAGTAGCCACGATAGTGTAACACACATAGCTGCCAACTTTTCACCCCCACCAAAACAAAACACTCGAACCACGCGGCAGGTCACCGGCGAGCGCATTGGCCAAGTACCCCCCCCCAACCCCCTTCCCCTTTCCTCCAAACCCTTCACACACTTTACTGCATTTGATAAATTCAAGGTATTCAACACAGACCTGCAGAAAGAGGTCTGTTCAATTGACTTACGGGATTTTGTTTTCCTTATTAATCGGAAAACTGCGCTTGAAAGTTCAAAATTCATCTCCAGCCACGGCAGTCCGCGGGGAAAAATATGAGAAAACTGAGAATACGTATTTTCCGATTTGAAAACGGACTTCAGTACTCAGGATGTCAAAACGTACTTACGTAAGCGTTTTACATACTGGTTGGCAGCTATGACAACGTGGTAACAATAATGATAGAGACGAAAACAATAAAAGTAGGATTTTTTTTAAGACAGAGAAGGAAAAAGGACAGAGAAGGATAAAGTACAGAGGTACTCACACAACGTGAATAGGCATAAGGAATACACTCAGAACACATCTTTCACACTCACACTTGAATGGAAGTAGCAGACCAATAAACAGACACATAAATATACGCACTGAGTGCTATAAAGTAGTCAAATTAATAATAAACACATGAAAAGAGGAGAGAAGTTCCCGTACACAAAAACATACCACATCTTGAAAAACAAACCAGTATAACAGTAACAAAGAAAACGAACAGAACGAAATGACCACAGTACATCACTCAACCACCTGTACAATAAATAGCCAGACAAACAGACTAGAAGAAATCAGTTTCAGTTTTAGTGAGAGTTTTACAGCACTTGTAACACAAATAGGTTATATAAGTGCCGAAGATTAGAAATGTCACTAGACAGTTAATATACAAAGAAAAGAAGAAGGAGAGATGAGGACGATAGATATTTGATAAGATAAAGAGATCAAATAACACAAGACCCCCCCCCCCTTTCCGCGCCAACCACCCACTAAAAGAAGAAGAACAAGATAACAACACAGCATCGCACAACCATCTGCACAAATTGACAGACAGAGCGTAAGAAAGACGGATAGACACACAGATGGACACACAAAGGAATGTGGGTGCGGTACTCACCCGGTCAGCCCCCAGTGGATTGATGAGGGTGCGCCTGTCCCCTCTCTGTAGTGCTCGCTGTGGGTCCAACAACATACCGCCCTGCTTCTCGATCTTGCCATGGCTCAGTTTCCTCACAGGTGTGGTCAGCCACTTCCTGGGAAACGCACAACAGAAGGAAAACATCGCTGATTACTGTACTGGTAAACTTATTTAGTGTTAGTAAGAGTTTTACGGCACTTGCAACGCAATAATGTCATATAAGTGCCGAAGATTAGATTATGTGCCACAAGAGTGTTTAGTTTTAGTTTTAGTAGAGGTTTTACGGCGCTCGCAACTACATAAGGTCATATGAGCGACAGAAGATTAGATGTGTTACAAGAGAGTAACAAACATAAAAAAAGAAGAAGGGGAAATACGATGGATGTTTCATAGGAAAGAAGAAGCAAACCACACAAGAGCACCCGCCAACTACCCACTACAAGAGAGTAACATTCATAAAAAAGCAGGAGGAGAGACAAGGACGACAGATGTCTGATAGGAAAGAACGAGCAAACCACACAAGAGCACCCGCCAACCACCCACGGGTAAACTTGTGTCAGTTCCTGCTTCATCAAAGTCAAGCATATAATAACGTTTGCTGGTGTGTTATAGTGTGTTATAGTATCGTTTTACCGGCAAATATTAGTGAATGCCTTTCTTTATTCGCAGTTCTCTTTCTCCTTCCCCCTTTTCTCACAGCAAAATTTAAACGCAAAACATAAAAACCCCACATCATGAAAGCAACTGAACTTCACATAATTATTATGCGTGCAAAGTGCAAACACGTACGCACCAGCGCACGCTTCAACGCTCTCGAAGGCGCACACGCACGCACGCACGCACACACACACACGCACACAAAAACATACACACACACACACACACACACACACACACACACACACAAAAACATACACGCACACAAACAC